CCAAACCTCTCTCTCAAGTTCCTCCTCTTGTTCTTGGTTTGTTATAAGACATTTGAGGCATCACACTTGAGGGCTAGGCTCTTGAAAGATCAATTCCTACAAGCTACAATTTACAGGTATTCTTCTAACTTACTTTTATTTTTAAATTACCAATATTGTATGCTAGTTGTAGGTTTCAAGCTTTGGAAATTTCTTTGCATGTATAACTAGAGAAAACGTAGATCCAAAGCTATTAGGGTTGTATGTGCACCATAGGAGTGTTATAGTACCTAAAACCCAACAATAACATGTCATGCACCACTACCACAAGCCTTATAGATACAAATATATTTATGCTAATAAAATTTAGGGTAAATTACATGTATGGTCCCTGTGGTTTAGGGTAAGATGCGTGTTTAGTCCCTAACAAAGTTTTTTAACTCGGACCGTCCCTATTTTATATTTTTATTGCATGCTTGGTCCCTGTCCGTACTAAAAAGACTAATTTACCCTCATCCAATTCGTTTTTTAATTAAATTTTTATTTATTTATTTATTTATTATTTATTTAAAAAATAAAATAAATTAAAATGTGACTCATCCCTACCCGCAACCCTCATCCCCTCCTTATGTCCAGTCATCGGGAACCACTTCTGGACACCACCGCCACGGACCTCCGATCACTACATTGGAAAACTACTTCTGGCCACCACCGCCACTAACCTCCGGTCACTGTCATCGCTGCAAATAAGAACCTTAGAAACAAAACAAAAATCATAGATCCAAACTAGATGCAGAACAAAATCATAGATCCGATAACAAATCATAAACAAAAAAACCATAGATCGAAGGAGATCTGGTTCATCTTTTCATTGTTCTTTTAAAATCCGAGCCTAGGTAAGCAACAAAGACATTAAAATTGAACTAGAAAACATAAATTGAAATCAGATGAAACCCATAAATTATAATTCTGAATCGAAATCAAAATGTTTGAAACCCCGACACTTTCATGATGAAACCCCAACTGAAACGATTAATGAAGCATATCATATTTGAAGCCCATCATGGTGCTCTCAAGCCATCGGTTCTCCGTCAACCCTTCCCGTGAACGTTCCTAATAAAAGTGAGCATGGATGTCGTCGAGGCTTTGGGAGAGGAAGACAGAGAGAGATAGAGAGAGGGAGGAGAGAGAGATAAACACACAGAGAGTTGGTGGTCGTTTCCAATCCGCATTCTGTTTTTCATAAACCAAATGATGGTCGTTTCAGAGAAATATTGTGGCTTTGGAGTGCATATCGGGATCGATGACGCCTTTAGAGTGGTTTTCGGCAAAGTAGACAGGTGGTGGAGGATGTCGACAGTCGAGGGTGGCCCAAGAGTGCAAATCAATGTATTGTGACTGCTCGATGTAGGCTTTAAAGAGGATTAGATATAGTATAAAGGTGGTGAGGCATGGTAGGTGGCTTTGCTGAGGTTTCCGGCTGGTGATGGCGGCTTGGAAGGGGTGTCCGACGACGATGGGTTTGGTTGTTTGTTAGGGTTCTTGAGTCTAAAGAAGAGGTAAATATGTACCTGGTAAAAGATTGGGGTAGTTGGGAGGGAGCCACATGTATTTTTTATTTAAATTCTTTGTTTTAATCAGATTTAGATAATAATAATAATATAAATAAATAAATAAAATTTAATTAAAAAAAGAAATGAATGAGGGTAAATTAGTCTTTTTAGAACGGACGGGAACCAAGCCTGCAACAAAAATATAAAGTAAGGACGTTCCGAGGTAAAAAAAAAAAAAAAAAAAAAAAAAAAAAAAAAAAAAAAAAAAACTTGTTAGGGACCAAGCACACAGATTACCCTATACCAGAAGGACCATCCGTGTATTTTACCCTAAAATTTATAGATTTATAAATAGACTCATTTAGATGTTGATGCCGCATCGACATCATATAGATTTGTACCTATGGATGTCTTGTTATCATCAATTGGAATATGTAAAAACTAGAAACAATGATATAATAATGGGAAAATGACTGAGGATGGTAACCAACTGTTGAGTTTGTTCACATTTGATACCTTTTTTGTATTTAATATACTATCGAACTTGTTGTTTGTGTTCACAATAACCCTTTTGACCGGCTATCACAGGTGATAACCGGTCAAAAGGGTTATGATGAACATAAACAACAAGTCCGATGGTATATCGAGTACAAGAAAAAAGGGACTAAATTTGAACAAACTCAAAGTTGGTTACTCTCCCGAGTCATTTTTCCTTTACTCATTTACAGAAAATCTCGTGTCATCTCCTACTCATATTAATGACTTTATGAGATTCATTCTTGCTTCTCTTTAAAACATAACCCACAAAGAACATTATTCATACATGTACAACTTTGTAATGCACTTGAATATTTTTTTTAGATGAATCTTGATTGAGCAGGTGCATTTCATGACTATATTTACATTTCCAATCAAATGATTTATCGTATCATGGATAAATTAATAGGTAGATTATTAATTTAAAGAGTTGGAAGGTTATGAGTTGGACATTGAGTTGGACATTTCTTCCCTAGAAAAGATTAATATTTTAGATGCCATCAACTTGGCCGTCTCGGCTTGGAGAAATGTGAAAAAAGAGTCCATAGCAAATTGCTTTCAACACTGCAAAATTTGTTCGGCTAATCCAACCGGCTCAAATGATTTAAACGATGTCAATTCTGGAGAAGACATTCGTGAGTTTAAGAACTTGATTACGGGTATGCACTATCGACACAAAATGGAAGTGAATGAGTTGTTGGATTATCCAGGTGAAACTAATGAATGTTACGAAGTTCAAAGCATTGAAGAAATTATCGCGGATACCATTCAAAATTCGGTTGATGATGATTCAATATCTTTGGAACCGGTCACTCGGAAAGAAGCATTGCAAGCGGCAACAACTCTTCACAACTTTTTGTTGCAATACGAGAATACATTGTCTCAACTCTTAAGTGGAATTAAGAGATTTAAAGATGATCTCAATATAGATTTGAAGTTCACAAAAAAAAAAAAAAAAGTGACTATAGATTCATTTTTTACTAAACAATTTAGGAATATTTTAGTAATTATTAATTTATAATTTCATTGAGACCAATAAATTTACATTGGGATTTCAAAAAAATTATTATTTTATTATTTTATCGATTGTGGTCCAATTTTATACTTGTCCCATGTTGGAACCGATCTAATTATTAATTTTATCGAAGTTATTAATTTATCGAGTATTAAATTATAGAAGTTTTACTATACTTAGATTTAAGATCAAATTCATGGATAAGATACAACATCAATGGGAAAATGACTCGAGAGGGGGGGGGGGGGTAACCAACCGTTGAGTTTGTTCACATTTAATCATTTTATTTTGTACTCAATATACCATCGAACTTGTTGTTTGTGTTCACCATAACCCTTTTGATCGGCTATCACATGTGATAGTCGGTTAAAAGGGTTATGGTGAACGCAAACAACAAATTTGATGATATATTGAGTACAAAAAAAAAAAACTAAATGTAAACAAACTCAACAGTTGGTTACCCTCGTGGACAGTGGCGGAGCTAAGCTTTGCTTAGTGGGGTGTATGGCCCCACTTGAATGTCGACCACACTTGTTATTATTATTATTATTATTATTATTATTATTTTTTAAGAAATGGTCCCCCCTTGAGATTTGTGAGGCTCCCTCTTGACTTTGTTTAAAATGTTCATCACTTTTTTATTTTATTCTCTACGTTTTCCCTCTCTTCTAAAATCCCCCAAGCCCCCATATATCCATTTTCCTCCATTTCCCTCTGATTTTAACCTAGCCGCAAGCCCCAACAACCGGGAGTTCGTGAGTCCATCGTCCTTGGTATGGTTTGTTGTTTTTTTTTTTGTTTCTTTGGTTAAATATGTTGATTCTTTGAGATTGATTCTGTTAGACTGTTTTTAAATAAGTTGATTCTTTGGGATTTTGGGAAATGTTAAAGTTTGTTAGTTTTGGGGTAATCGTAACAAATGTTTTCGAAATCGATTTTGGGGTAATCGTAACAAATGTTTTCGAAATCGATTTTGTGCATTTTGGGGTAATCGTAACAAATGTTTTCGAAATCGATTTGTGCATTTTGGGGTAATTGTAACAAATGTTTTCGAAATCGATTCAACATGAAATGTACTCAATTTGTGCATTTTGGGGTAATCGTAACAAATGTTTTCGAAATCGATTTTGGGGTAATCGTTATCGGTCCATTTTGGGATGGTCAACGGTCAACGGGCTGGTCAATGGTCAATGGTCATTTGTGCACCCCACTTGACATCCGGGCTGGATCCGCCACTGCTCGTGGATCATTTTCTCTATAATAATTAACACAAAATTAAGTACTTAAATCGTCCACTACACAATGATAAATTTGATGGAGTAGAATAACAAATTAAGATATAAGTAACTCGTTTACATTCTTTAACAATATCCCAAAAAAACGTAAAACACGTAAAATAGAATTTTACGAAAGTTACGTGCTATAATATGTATATACGCCTCGTGTTTTATTTGAAGACTTTTTTGCAAATTATGTAATAATACAATAACATGACATGAATGCTTTTCTTGACTTAATTTACAAATAAATTATTACCTTTTCAAGCTTGAAGCAAAAGACTTGCCAAAAATAGCCATATTCACATCTAAAATAACCTCATCCATGTATATGCTAAATCCAAATAAAAAAAACAAAACAAAACAAAACAAAACTATCGGTAAGTTTTAATCCAGTATTTATGTGTTACGTTGTATAATAAAATTACAAGAATGTATCAATAGATTGACTATTCGGACATGATTTTTCCGATATACATATCTATAGACTATAGGTATGTATGTACCTACTCTACGATGTCTCTCTAATACAATTCTATTCTAATACTAACAAGAGAAATGAAAGAATGAAATAACATCCAACAACAAAATTGCATACTAAATAAATGAAAAAAAAAACATATAAAAATTGGAAAGCCATCAATGGCCGACGCCTGGGCTGGGGACGGAGCGAAGGATGCGGTCGATGGCAATGAGGTGGCGGGTGATGAGCTTCTCGTCGGTTGTTGATGCATGACCCTTTTTGCTCGGAGTAGAAGCCGGCACAGTTCCCTTTGGAAGAGCAGTTAAGTATAAACTCATTTCCACCGGAGATGCTTCCCGCGTGTTTAACAGTTTCCGACCATTTGAGGAAGATGTAAATAGAACCAGTATTATGAAGAGAGCAAGACATGTTCGAGCCATTTCAATATCTCTGTGAGAGAGAGAGAGAGAGAGAGAGAGAGAGAGAGAGAGGGAATTGTGGTGAGAGATTTTGGAGTTGATCTTTGAAGAAGAAGATATATATATATATATATATATATATATATATATATATATATATATATATATATATATATATATATATATATGAGTTTTTCAAAGTTCTGAACATCTGAAATTTTTGGTTATAAGTCAACTTTTTTTCAAAGTTCAAAATGTTAAAAAAAAGAAAAAAAACTGTAATATTTTATCTTTTTAAATTGTGATTTGTTAAATTCAAAACTAGAACAAAATCAAAATTTAAACGATATTAATACCATAAATAAATTCTATCCGAATTAATTAATAATAATAATTTACCAAAACAAAATTTTCATTTAATATTATTTTAGATTATTATCCTAAACTAATGATTTGAGGCTAGAGTTCATAGGTCCTTCAGAATTTTTTTAATTTTTAAAATAACTTGACGATGTATATAGAGTCAGGATCACTTAAAAACTTATAATTTTCCAATTGCTGAAATCCGTTTTTGACTTGATCCCTTAATTCGCGTATATATAAATTTTGTAAAAAAAAATCTCAAAAAACATAAATTTTTTTAGAGAGTGAGAGATCCACGAAATTTGCGGCAACTCAAATGTTGACTCTGTCTGTCAATTTGGAATGGTACACGCTTAAACTACACGGGCTTAGTTGCTTTTATTAGAATTTTGACAAAATTAAAAAGAATTGATACGATTTTAGTAAGATAACCATTTTATTTGTATCATTGTATTGTATGGGAAAACTACATGTAATATTCTATTTTAGTACAACTTTCATATTTGGGATTGTCCTTTTCATTCTTTACAAAATTGTTATACGCTTGTATAGAAAAGAAATCATTTTACCAAAAGTTGATCACCATTTCAGACAATTATCTAAATTTGGTTACAAATCTATAACATTATCACTCATGCATTATTTTTAAATAAAATAAAATTCATTAAAAGTAGTTTGTACGTTGAATTTACCTTTTTATATTTATGACAACCAATTTACAACACATTTCTAAATATAAAAAACATAAAACCACTGCACTACGATACTATTATTATATATATTTTTTTCTTGCATTTCTTTTCTGTATGCATTACTTTCGTAGTAAAATTGATTTCTTCTTTGACTTTTACCGGTCAAATGCACTATTTCTTATCCAAATGGCCGATAGACTTCATTTCAGTCGTACGAAACAATTAATCAATCTGTAATAACTTATAAAACAAACAAATCAATAAAATAGTGAATATTAAAAAAAATCTAATTAAATTATAAGCTACACTTATATTTTAATCGGAGTCTGACATTTAATCATGTATCGTAAATTGAAATAAAAGAAGCGCAACTATTAACAATCAAGAGAGGTTAGAGTTCAAGCCATTTAGTCATATGTGAAGGTAACAATATAAAGTAATGGAATAAAAATAATTAATTTTATTACGTGTAAACATAGACTGGATCATGATATTTAAATCGTATCAAATATTAGTTGTGCTTTAATTGGATACTGGGTGACGTCAGGTCGGTTAATTTGTTCCCTCTTTTTCTGGGGTACTTCGTAGTTCGTAGGGAGGAAGAGTCAAAGGACGTGAACCTTTGAGTTTTGACCTACCAACCTGGACCCATGTCTCATGACTCAGCCGGCTTGACTATATTCACGGATACACGTTTATGCGATTGGCCGCTTACTCCCTCACATGTTGGTCATGTGGCTAAAAGATTGCCAATGACTTTTATGTCCATTCTTGTAAGAAAACTTTTTGATAGTTCTTAATGGCAAATTTCACAAAAATATCAAATTATTATAATAATTTAATTTTAATATTATGTTTTTTTTGTCTTAAATTGAATATTTTTTTATCAAGTTTGTTATAATTCAAATCATTTAACCTGTCAACCAAATTGTTAGTTGTCTTTTCAGTTTTGATGACATGATATTCTAACATAGCATATAGGGATGAGCAAAAAGACCGAACCGGCTGGAACCGGCCCGAACCGGACCCGACCCGGGAACCGGCTTCGGCCAAAATCAAGAACCGAACCGGCCCAGTGGTTCTACCGGTTCCCGGTTCCTACCGGTTCTTGTCGTGTCTTCAAATGTCGGAACCGGTCCTCGAAAAATAGCATCATACGGTTCTGGTTTTTGCCGGTTCTACCGGTTCCGGTTATATCGGTTCCGGTTCCTACCGGTTTCTGGTTCCAAAAATCCACAAAAATAACGTCCCGGTCCCGGCCCGACCGGTTCCATCGGGTTCCGGTTCCAGTGCCGGTTTTGGTTCCGGTACCGGTTCCGGCCAGTTCCCCGGTCCATATGCTCATCCCTAATAGCATAATTATGTGACATTATTTGGTGACATCATATTCTGAGTATGAAAAGTAAATAAATATATATAAAATATAATTATTTTTATGATAGTTATACACAAATCGTCACTCGTCCATGTGTCAAAAAGCATGTTCAATCTTTATTTTCAAAAGTTAATTCGGACTGTCCCTCGTTTGGTTAAAAGTTGTACATGTCATCCATCGTTAGTTTAAAAGATCTAGTATCCTCAAGAATCATATTAAAGTGATAGTAATTATTGCCTAGATTTTGTAACCTTAAATCGTGGTCACTATTAAAAGATCTAGTATGCTAAAGAATCATATTAAAGTGATAATACTAATTAACATATAATACTAATGAGTCACACTAACAACTACATGATACAATTGACTATTTATTAGAAATTGATTTTAATAAATATTTAATAAACTCTTATAATTAATTAAAAATTATTTATTTAATGGAAATATTAATTTTCATTAGCAGGTAACATAATATATATCATATGGTATGATTTATTAAGTCATATACAACATTTCAGACAATAAAGTCTCTTTTGTCTTTTACCAAAAAGTTAACGTTTATATTTTATAAAAGAATTTATAAAATTCACAAACTTTCTATTTCTTTTATTAGTCAAACTCATGACTTCCTATACGCTAGATAAGTTATGGGCTTTTGATTAAGTAAATGGAAATTAAGACATGTCTAAAAGCACGGGGGAACACTTAGACTTTAGGTGACATGATATGCTTAAAGTGCTAAGCACCTAAGGATAAAGAATTAGCTTTATGAAGTGAGAAAATTTTCATTTTGGCAAGCATAATTTTGAAATCCTCTTTATCTCTCTCATTCTCTCTTCCTTTTGAAGATCAAGAGTTCAAGTTACTTGCATTTTTAATCTCTTGAAGCTCATACTTTGGTATGAACTTCAAGCTTAAGAGTTAAAAGTTTTAGACTAGCATCTACATCAAGCAGACTTCTTGTTGGTGTCTCTAAAGTTCATCATTCTTCATCAACTTTCAAGCCTCCGAAGAGGATCCAAAGAACTACAAAGGTTGTTATTCGTTCTTCTTCTTCTTTGGTTGTGTTTATTTTCTTTCCAAACTTTGCAAGATGATCCTTGGTGGGTTTAACTTGTTTATGTTATTCAAAAATGATCAAGTCTTCTGTTGCTAAATATTATGTTTTTGAAACTAGTTTTTGAATAAAACCCAACAATTGGTATCAAGAGCCACCTTACAAGTTTGGTTAGATTTTATGATTTTTTGAAAATCTTAGTTTTTGGAGAATATGGATAACTTGGTTTTGTATAAAACAAGTTCATACATATTTTCCATGACAACTTTATAATTGTTATTTTATGTGACAAAAGTTTTCATGCATCTTTTGTCATTTTAAAGTTTTCTTAGAAAAAACAAATGTTGTTTAATGTGTATGTTGATATGTATGAAATTCATAAATTAGCCAAGGACCATTGTGTTTGTTGTGTTGTTTTTGTTGGTTGCTTTATAAAAATGGTTGTAATAATTAATTTATTCATATGGTATATAATAAATTAAATAGGTTAGTTTTCTTGCTTTATTTTTGTAATCAATAGATTAGTTGTTAGAAATAATTTATTTGTACAAAAATATAACAAGAAGTGAAGTTGGAACCATTTTTTGAAGACCAAAAAACAATTTTCAAGTCTAAAAGGGGTGCATGATTTTCGGTGACGGTTTCTGAAAAGTGTCACTAATGCTGTTTAAAAAGGGTTGTTGTACTTTTAGCGACAGTTGCTGAATTTTAGCTTTCAAGAAGTTCTTCAAATCTTTTGCAAGCAAATGGTGTTTACTTAAGTGAGAGTTTCTATAACAACATTACAATAAGTTTTTTTTTTGGTCCTTTAAAATGTCCCTTTAGGAATGGATTTGACATTTTTTGTGTTGACTCACAAAAAATGTCATTAGTTGGTTATGTTTATGTACATATAATTTTATGCATGTTGTGTTGTTTATTTTATGCAATTATTATGTGTGATTGATAAATTAGTTTTTCACATGCTAAAATAATTTTGGACAAAATAAACATCACATGTAGTTTGTTTTCAAAATTTATAATGTAGACATAAGATGTAACAAGTTATTGGTTTAAAATAAAATTCGGTTTTATAAAACCTTAATAACGTCAAATTTTGAAATAGTTAAATATAAGTTTTAAAATGATGATTTTTATAACTTATACAAACTCCAAATATATTAGTAATAAAAGGAAGTTTTATTAAAGATATAAAATGGTTCAAATGCACTCAAACTTAATACTGGTTATTAAAATTGAATCGCGTTAAATTATATAAAAACTAGCTTTTATATAGAACCTTTAAAAGTGAATTTCTTTTGAAAATTGGTACCATGGTTTATTATATGCATGTAATAACCATGACATCATATGTTTTTTAAAACTAGAATTATAAAACATATAAAAGACCCTTTTCAAATCTCAAATCTATGTAATCCATCTTGAAGAGCACTCGCACATCTCTTGTATGCACTAGTGGGATAAAGGATACGTAATCGCTTAGTGTTATCTTTAGATGTACGGGGTGTATTCACGATTTCTCTAACCAGGTTAT